ATATGATGTCACAATAATAAATGGCAATAATCATTTACACCTGTCATATGTAATCACAATCATCACAATCATCATCATCATCATCACCACCATATTGAATCATCATCAACACTATATGGATTCATCATCATACCAGATTATCATCCCATCACAACCATTATCATTGTAATCATTCACTCATCATCCATTCACACCCATCTATTGTCGATAATTAATATTGCGCATCTTTGTTATCCAAGTGATCGTTGCTTTGTTGCTGTGGCTGTTGGTATTATTCCTCTTCTTCTTGTTTTTATTACTACTATTGTTGTTTATATTCTTCTTTTTCTTCTTTTCATTAGTATTATTATTTTTAATACAACAACAACTACAACATACAAAACTACAACCACAGCCACAACAACAACAGCCACGACAACAACTACAACAACAACCACAACAACTATAACAACAACTACAACCACAACAACAACAATAACCACAGCAGCAACAACAACAACAACAATAATAATAATTACAACAACTACTACAACAGTTGCAACAGCTACAACAGTCACAACAACTACAACAACAACCACTACAACAACAATAACAATAACAACAGCAACAACAACAGCAACAATAATTACAACAACAACTACAACTACAACAGCAACAACCACACCAACACATACATGGAAAGACAACAAAACCAATTTGTATTATTGGATGTTCATTGTTGTTTGACCTCCCCAGAGATTAGAACGATATCGTCTGATTGTCTGGCACTGAATGAACATGGGGGTTAAGAGGTGCTGCAGAGGTGCCTTTGATGAAATATGCCTCATTCAAAGTTAATTAACAGACAGTCAATATGCTTCTTATGCTATTAACATTTGTGCTGTCATTACTGTTTGTTGTTGGAGCGGTGTTGATCTGTGATGTTGTTGTTGTTATTGTTGTTGTTGTTGTTTATGTTGTTGTTTATGTTGTTTTTGTTGTTGATGTTGTTGTTGATGATGTTGATGTTGTTGTGGTTGTTGTGGTTGTTTATGATGTTTTTGTTGTTGTACAACTACTCAGTGATAGTAATAATTAGGAAGCTTGGAGGTTTGTGATGAGTTACTGATGGTGCATGCTGATGTTGGGATCATGTTTAAAAAGGTGAACTCATTTGTAATGATGTCGTTTGGTTTTGATCACGCAAACCAACAAACAGGCAACAAGCAAACGAACAAACTACCAGACAAACAGGCAAACAAGCAAGCAAACAAACAAACAAAGAGACAGACATGCAAACAATTAAACAATGTTATTAACAACTTTGAATCTATGTGTAGTTTTTATTTTCAACTGCCTTAAGAACACTATCTTACATTGACAACAACAGCAACCACAGCAACAACTACAACTACCACACAACAACGACAACGACAACAGCCACGGCAACAACCACAACAACATAAACGAGAAACTTGCACCAGCATAAAAACAAGATCACTCATAAATGGAAAGTCACCGGCTGAACACAAACTTGCAACCCCTCTGCTAAACTCGCCACAACAACGCAAACACATCAACACTAACTCTACATTTATATCGTTGCAACAACATTAAAAAAGCTATTAACTAGAAAAAAGTCTAAATAACTATCAATACGATAACGAGAAAATACTAATAAATGGAATATTAACAAATCTACCAAACAAACACACCAACAAACACATCAACAAACACATCAACAAAACACATCAACAAACAACAAACACACCAACAAACACATCAACAAACACATCAACAAAACACATCAACAAAAAACATCAACAAACAACAAACACACAAAGCAGCATTTATCAGCGCATATCAAACACTGGCGATAAAGAGCAACTCGCATTATAAGGCTTCCAATGGTCATGGAGCTGTTTCAAATTTTTGATAATGGGAAATTTGATATGTTGAATGTAATTCCTACTTAACACGCTTCCATTTCACAACCGCACAACAACACAACATCCATACATTACAACGAGACATCAGCGCGACGTCACAAAAGCACAACAACACAACATTACAGCAACACATCAACACAACAACAAAACGTGTCCAACTTTTCAATTAACAAATGCGCTGATAGCATTTCATAGTAGGAAATCGCAGCTTGATTTATGCATGGAATATTTTTATTTCAGGTGATTTTCAATGTTGATGTTGAGATGAATGTTGGTGTTGATGTGGACGTTTTTTGGCAGATTAAACATTCGATATACAAACATTTGTTTTAAAATACATGCTGCTCAACTGCCTTCAACATATTCCGCATTCGTGAAAAAACGTAATATAACAAAAGTTTAATCCAGTCAATGTTGTAATGTATAAACGAACAAAAATATTAACACGAACCACGCACACAAACAGGCAAACTCACACACACACACGTACACACACACACACACACACACACATTAAACCAAAATTTCACGGCGCCCACTCCGCCACACATCCCTCCAATCGTATTTATACGAACGATGCGAGTACTTCTAAATCGAAAATCGATTAATTGTTGACGCAAGACGAACGTTCGCATACACACGCTCAATAACCGTGCACAAACCTTTCACGCACACACGCACGCACGCACACACGCACGCACGCACACACGCAGACACACACACATACTAACACGCACTTACATAAAACCATTTTGAACAAAAACACACAAACACACACCCGCAAAAGTATATGCATACAGACGCATGCAAGTCAAAGTACCTACGCGTCCGCATGGCGAATTTATATTCATGCATGCACCGTTAAACAAAAACGCAAGAAATGCATGCACGTACACTCCTGCATGAATATATCTCGTGCACAAACACTATCTCTGCGTGTAAACTTTTATTAATAAATTCAATTGAACATATTTACTTTTAAACAAATTGAAAGGTAGCCAACCGCAACAAACACACTCAACAATTTAATGTCCGCAGACACACAAACAATTCGACACGCACACGTGAGCCGTACAGGTCGCCCCAAGTAACACAAACGCAAAGACACATACAAACACGCACACGCGCACACGAACACACACAAACTCATGAAAATAAATAGGTTTCTATGAAATTTTGCCTGAGGCGTATGTGACAATATCCGATGATTGTTTATGTTTCTGTGTGCGCGCGTGTGTGTGTGTGTGTGTGTGCGCATGTGTGAGTGAGCGTGCGAACGTGAACCGTTAATTAGTGTCTGTGTGTTTGCGCTGAGTTTGTCAACATGCGAAAGTTTTATAGTTGATCTTTTGTTTGCACACCTGGTGGTGGCGCGGACGCTTCCACCATGCTGACGAACATCGTTTCTTACGTTTCAGAGAGTTTTCTTCTCAAAATTACTAAGAAAAAATTTATTTTCTTGAGTTCATCTTCCTAATTTGATTTTAAAGCACCAATTATCAAATTTCCTGGTTGTGCAGTTTTTAATTTTTGATCTTAAACATTGCCGGACAGCCTGTGGGAGGTGCTTCCTCCTAACACAACCACCTCCTCGTGTGGGTCTGCTGTCGTGTGGCTGGGTGTGTGGCGAGAAATGATAGGGTGAGGTTGCGTAATAAATTTCTCTGCTGGAAAATGTTACAGCTTCAAATAAGAAATAACATTCACACTTCACCCGATAACTTCCGAAATGAAGCTGGTGGTGGTGGTGGTGGTGGTGGTGGTGGTCGGGGTGGTCGTCATCATGGTGTTTCTTAGGAATGTTATCGTCGTCGTGTTTGTTGGTTCACGTTAGAATCGTGAGTGGTTGTTGTTAGTTCCGGCATAATTGTCATCATCGTCATCATCACCTTATCATCGTCATCATCATCATCTTATTGTCATCATCGTCATCATCATCACCATCATCGTCTTCATCATCATCGTCTTCATCATCATCGTCATCATCATCTTTGTTCTCATGAACGTCATCGTGCAATTCAATTTCCTGTTGTCTGTCCTGGCAGAGGTTGATTTGACTTCTGGGAGGACTTCTGCACTGGCATCACGATCCTTCCACAATGAACAACATTCCAAACATTCTTTTTTTCATCAAGTCACTAATTGAAAAATGCTCGTAAAAATAATTTGATGTTTGAACATGCTATATTACTATAAAACCAACCAACCATCAACAAACAGCCATTCAACAACCGTCCAATCATCAGCCAACCAATCACCAACCAACCAATTATCAACCAACCAATCATCAACAATCATCCAGTCAACAGTTTACTATTCATCAATCAAACTAATCTGCAACCAGCAAAACAACAGCTAATCAACCAACCAATCAACAACCAAACAATCAACAACCAACCAATCATCAATCATCAGTCAACTAATCATCAATCAACCAATCAGCTTAGAATAAAAATATAAACAGTTAGAAATTATGTGCTGTCCTACTATTCAATCATCCAATTATTGTTGTTGTTGTTGTTTGGTTATATTTGATGAAAAATTTTAAGTAAAAAATATTTACTTAAAAAGATTCTGAAGAATTATGAGAGAATATAAACCAATGGGACACGTATTTAACATGTTATCAGCTTCAATGGTTTCTTAATGGATTTTCGATTCCAAAGTTTTATTTATATACAATTTATTTATCATCAAGTCAGCCAATAACCAATCGATCTATCCATTCACCTAGACATTCATCTCACCATTCATCTATTCATCCATTTATCCACGTTTTTAGTTTTCTTTTCTGTCCATAAGTTTGTCCGTTTATCCAGTACATCCACACCATGCATCAACACACAGGCACGCACACACACGTACATCAGCACGTGCTCACATAAACTCACATATACTCGCATACACCCACCCACTTACACATTCTCACACTCTCTCACACATTCTCACACTCTCACACATTCTCACACACTCTCACACATTCTCACACGTTCTCACACACTTTTACAACTTACACATTCGCTCACACATACTGTCACACACACACACACACACACACACTTTCACACGCAGGTGCCAGACAACTTCCGCGCCACAGTGGAAGCCACACTGAGAGAGTTCTTCAAGTCGATCCAAGCGGAAAAGGATCAGGAGCAGTCGTGGAAGAAGGCCATCTACAAAATCATCGCCAGACTCGATGACGTCATCCCGGAACACTTCAAAATGTCCAACTGGCTGGAACAGGTCGTCGATAGCTGACGGGGATGATGATGATGTCATCGACGATGATGATGACGATGTTTAGAATGATGGTGATGATGATGGTGATGACGATGTTTAGGATGATGATGATGATGATGGTGATGACGATGTTTAGGATGATGATGATGATGATGGTGATGACGATGTTTAGGATGATGATGATGATGATGGTGATGACGATGTTTAGGATGATGATGATGATGATGCTTAGAATGATGGTGAGGATGATGATGATGATGTTTAGAATGATGATGATGATGTCATCGACGATGATGATGATGAGGTTGATGATGACGATGTGATGAGAGGGGTATGGATTATGAAAGTGAAGATGCTGATGGTGATGATGATGATGAAAATGAAATGGCGAGGGAAATGAAATGATGATGACGATTGTCAGAAATTTGATTGAAAGTAAGAAATAGTGATTAAAATGATAATGATGACGGTGAAGATGGCGATGGGTTTAGTGGATGAATTGATAAAGAATGAACAACAAGAACTGTGAAACTGTTGACAATAAAGTTTAGAAATTTGGTGAAATAATTACTAAACTGGATGATAAGGACGAATGCAAAGTTTAAAAAGTTTTTTCTTCACGAGCTGTCACATATATTATAACATACTGTTGATTGGACACACGCGTTTTGTCATTTGCATTTCATTTCAATCTAACTTATTTGCGTTCAATAATTACTTAATTTTTCTATCTTTCAATAAATTGTAAGGCAGTTATGAATCTTAAACTGATTGCTTGTTCGCGGAAATATTTTCATAATTGTTTTCTAATTGAAATAATGGAGTGAGATATTTTGAGAGAATGAAGGAGTATTTCAACTGATACATTCTGGTTAGTTATTGTTTGTCCATTCAACTTTTAAACATTGTAAAGTATGTAAGGAACATCTTTTAACAAATTCACTCTACTTATTGTAATAAAAAATTATCAGATGTGTTTTTATAGCCTGTAATTAGCGATTGACATTTGATCGATTTTGTTGAAGATTACCCACACGTGAGATTTGTAAATATATGTTCCACGCGTTCTGTCTGATGCACTTTCATTCATTTCAACTGCCTCTACGTCAATCACACATATTTGTTTTTTTTAAAGTTATAACTACAAGTTCAAATAAACTCGGCTCGCAATCTCATGTTGTCGTTTTGTGATTTTTAAAGTTAATAAACTGGGGAAGAATGTTTTGAGGATTTTTTGTTTCCAGTATGCAGGGAAACAATTCTTCTTTTAGTAAATCGGCTTCTGTAAAAATTTGTAACTTCTAAAGATCAACTAGAAGCAATTACAGTTAGCATTCTATCAAATTATGTTAAGGGTGACCCACCCTCCAATAATTGTTACGGCGAGATGATGGTGGTGATGGATGGTGGGTGGTGATGAAAGATGGGGATGGTGATAGATGGTGGAAATAGATGACACAAGAGTTTCCGTTGTTTTGATCACCCCATGTTTCTTCATAGTGCCACGAGTTCAAAGTTCACCTCACCCTACTCCCGTACTAAAACGAAAATTCGTTTTGTTGTGAACCATTTATTTTGTGAAGAATAATTTATATTATGTAGTAAATAAAAACTCTGAACTAATTGTTTTAATGTTTTAGTATGATATGAACACACTTAACATGCAAATGCGCGTCCCAAGTTTTTTCTATATTTTTTTATTAGCCTTTATTTTTGCAGCTCTGACATACGCAGAACCACTTACAATGTTACAGATATGTTATCTATATATCTTTTATTATGTTTTTCTTTTCTTCATCCATTGATTTGAAGCAGCCATCTTTGCCACAAAGGCTGTTTATCCTTTTCACACGACGTACACATGTATTTTATGTGCACGCGCAAGCACCGCATCATATACGCTGAGTCTATGAAAGCCATTGAGATGTTTGACTCAGCGCGCATTTGAACCACTGAAACATCTCGCCGGCCAACATACGACAGCTTACGTCGTCTACACATTTACTAACCTCGGAAGGATGGACGGCTGGGTTGACCGGAAGTCGGCTACCCGAATGAACCTGTAGAAACTGCAGAATTCGAACTCGGGTCGTGGGAGTGATAGACGGACACGCTAACCACTCGGCCATGAGACCCCTTCAAAGTTGTAGAAATATATTTCTCTACTAACACAAAACACAAAATGAGATTTTATCGCAATTTGCAGTTGCAGAAAGAGTTGATTCCACTTCAAACTTGCTTCAAACTTCAAAAGTTCACCCCACCACTCCGCCCAGCACACTTGGATCACTTCGATGTTCCTTGCCAGATGGCAACTCTCTGAAACGTCGGTGGCCATGAACGTAACTTCAAGTTTTTCAAAGCGATAACCTGCAACGTTCTCAAAACGCTGCAAAGAAATATGAGATGGAGTTTGAGACATTGAAATAGCAAATTAATTTATAAATGTCTCGCGAATGGAACAACACACTGAACAGCGTACCAGCAGGAGCAAGAACGCATTTGCATGTTAAGTGCTGTTGTTCATATCATCATCATCATCAGTTGTCCTCTCGGTTGTGAAGTACGATGAGTGGAGTGGATGTGTTGATGGCTGGTCGTTACTTCTCAATGGCGACGGTGAGCGATGGAAATATTAAACACTGCAGAAACAACAACTCCCACCCGGCCTGCGAGGGTGGGTGAGTGGCTGGAAGTCGTTGGCTACACTCACAAGTTCCTATCGAGACAAACATTCAACTAGTAAAAATGAAGTAATGATGATGATGATGATGATGATGATGCTGATTATGATGATGATGATGGATAATGAAAGTACGGGGCTGGTGATGAATACTGGAGGAAGATAATTGCAAAATGATGATGACCAGTATGAAGAAGATGATGATGAGGATGATGATGATGATGAGGTGGGATAAGCAATTGTGAGTGGAGCTCCTGGGACGGAGTTTGTTGTTTGTTGAATCAACAGTGGGTCGGTTGATCGATGTTCTTGATGTGAGAGTGCATGCACCGCACAGACATCAACACTTCAACAAAAAAACACTAACAAGACATCTGTTGCCAACATCAACAAGACATCAATCTGTTGCCAACATCAACAAGACATCAACAATCTGTTGCCAACATTAACAAGACATCAACAATCTGTTGCTAACATTAACACTTGTGTGATGGTAATCAACACATTAATAGCTTATCAGACTATAGAAATCACTTTTAAAATACCCCACCCATCGACTTATCTTAGAACAACGTTGAAGAAATTAACAACAACAAAAAAGTTCCGAAAACAGAGAGAACACTTTCTATAACATTTTCTGTTTCAATAAACTCACACTGACACACATTACACACACATACGCATACACACACACCACACACACACACCACACACATACACAAACACCACACACATACACAAACACCACACATGCACACACACCACACACAAACACGCCACAAACACACACCACAGACAAACACACCACACACATATACACACTACACACGCGTAACCGCACGTGACAATGTGTTTGTGACGACACCAGCCACACAAGATGTTGATGATGTTTACTTCAGCGGGTTAGCGGCAGGGAAGCTCGCAGGCTGCATTCGACGACAACATGTTGTTGTTTTTTTTCGTGTCGTTACTTCATTTGCTACTTCATTTCATTTGCCTCCTCGCTTGGCCTTCTAATTACCTGATTGATGCCTATTATATAATAGCTAAGTGATTATGATGATGATGATGATGATGGTGATGATGATGGTGATGGTGATGATGCTGGTTATGATGATCGTGATGATGATAATGGTAATGATGATGGTGGTGATGATGATGATGCTGATTATGAATATGCTGGTTATGATGATGATGATGATGATGGTGATGGTGGTGATGAAGAAAACGATGATGACAAAGGGGACGATGATGATGATGATGGTTTGAAACCAATAATGACGATGATGCTGCTGTGATAATAAAGTTGGTGATGTGAATAGTGATGATGATCTTGATGATGATGAGGAGGAAGGAGGTAGGGATGGGAGGAGATGAATGATGGAGGAGGAAGACGAGGAGGAATATGAGAGTGCTGCCTGCCGCTGCATCTCCGCGGATGGCCGGATTGTTGTTTGAGAAAGCACATTTGCCAGCATTAGCCATCTATCAAGAATATTATTTTCCTCCTCATCACGTTTCATCATTATCATTCTTACGGCCATCATCAGTCTCCACCCCCACCTCCATCACATCATCATCATCATCATCATCACTTTTGTTCAGTCATAACAGCAATCACCACACACAACACACACACACATACACACATCCATCAAACACACACACACACACAAACACACGCACACACACACACCAATCTGACAAACAGCACCACACACGCGCACGCACACAAATACAACGCCACACGCGCCACTAAGTCACACGGCATTTGCATTGATATCCAGATGCAATATTTGTTGCACCTTAAGTAAATATGTTTGTGTGTGTGTGTGTGAGTTTGTGTTTGTGTATGCGCATATTTCTTTGAGTCTTACTTTTTTTCTCACTATTTTGGAACTCGTCACTATCATCGCATTCATCATCCTCATCATCCTCATCATCCTCATCATCCTCATCATCCTCATCATCCTCATCATCCTCATCATCCTCATCATCCTCATCATCCTCGTCGTCGTCGTCGTCATCATCTTGCGCATACTAACGAACGTGCGCACGTTTGAGACGAAGCAATTTGTTGGAGAGCCGGCAAAGAAAACAAGGAGGACTTGCATTTTGTTTGTTCATCCTTCCTACATCAGTCGCAAGG